TGGGGGCTGGACTGTTGAAAAAACTTGATAAGGACGGGAGCTGTTAGTCGTAATTAGAAGAATGCATTGAGTAGTGCTTTGTTGCTCTAAATGAAAGCTTTAATAAGAAATTTTTATTACTAAAGACACAGTCTTACTGCCAGGTTACCCAGAATTCTTCGAAAAGTGGGAAGGCAAACTCGATGCAAATTTATTATAGGCAGCTTAAAAGGCACGCAATATGTACTCATACCCTTTGACTGTGTGTGTGTGTGTGTGTATTTGTCGATATGCATGCGATTTTATATATACAAAAGGCGCGAACCCCACTTTTTGCTTTGTTTGACCTGAAGTCCATACCCAGCTCACTGTGATTTATATGGTCCCGAAAAAAGGCCGTTGGTTTAGGACATCAGCCGCGGAGAACACAGACGAGGAGCACCCGAGCAGCAGTGCCACCACAGCCGCATCAGCGACTGCAGGTTCAGCAGCATTTCTTCCCGGCTCGGCGCTCAGTATTTCGAATTCACTTACTGCTGCTACATTAGCTGCAGCTGCTCTCCAGCAGCACCAACAACAGCAACGCCATCAGCAACAGCAGCAATCTTCTTTACAGGTCTGTGAAGTTGCTTTAAAGGCAGGAGATGAATATATTTGCCAGTCTTTTGCCTAAAATTTCACCAGCTGAGAACAAATTAAAAAGGCACCCATCAAAAGGGGAAAACACTTTGAAGCGGGACTGCCACAAATTGGGGGGACGATCGTTTTATTTGCTGAATTGAGCATGCAGTGGCCTGATCCCTGAGAACGGGCTCTCTCCAACAGCAGACGACCTCCATGATATTGTCTGCTGACCCTGCCTGTGAATCTTTTTGTGATACACACTGCATATTCTGGTTTTGTCGGCAAGCATGCGAGACCTTGGGAAGGCAGCTTGTACATCTGCTAACCTTGTGATGATGGGTTTGTGAAATTACTGGTCTACTATCGAATCTTAGATGAACCAGCAGGTCGACCAGTTCGAATTGTTGTATTTGGCCGTCAGCAGCACTTCTGTGAAGTCGTTTTAGAAAATTCTGTAGTCCTGGGAGACGAGCGTGAGTAGCGGAACGGCATAAATAAGATAGTTTTGTCTTTGCTCGCACTTGTAATCCCGAAACTCTTGAGTTATATTCCCTCGTTTTATCTTTCAATTCTAATTTTAACTTGTTTTGTTTCTGCCCATAATTTTTTGAGTTTCCTCGTAATCCACATCGGGGATGATGAGAAAGCATGTATATATGAAGAGTAAAATGCTTTTCTTAGTGCTAGATTATTCAGGTGGGAGGCAGAGAAAGAAAGGCCTGCATCTTCAGTACTGGTTCCAGGAGGTACTGCAGCTGCCCTCTTCTAATTCAGAAGACGCTGTGAACATTCGAGTAAGAAAGTTAAATCGGAGAGGAGCGGCAGTTATCTCGGAGATGTCACATGGTGTTAAATGTTGACGTTGAACAGGATTGCAGAATTTATGGATGCAGCCTAATATACCGAACGTACTGGCCCTGATGCAGGAGTATTATGCACAGTTCTCTTTGAACAACGCTGCATATCTTCTTGGTACTGGTAGTCCATCTGTTACGCCAGCAAACAATAATGGAAGTGCTTTCAATACTATCACCAAAATTACCAGGTACCGGCTTTAATTTAGCATGTTTAAGTCTGCTGCTCATGTAGGAGGACATGCCTGAAAACTGAAAAGGTGAAATGTTTGCCGGGATATGATGAGTGGCAGCTGTAGACGTCGAATAGAAGGATCTTAATTAGAGAGAATATCGATTGCTTTACATAGGTGGATCATCCGCGTGATTTTGTTAAGACCAGGCAACTCTTAGTTAGCTTGGATAAAAAGCCTCCGTAATGAATGCAGTCATCAGGGGAAGGTGCCTTTTTGCTCACGTGGTGAAGCAAAATTATCTGTTAGGCGAGAAAAATGCAGTGCAGAAATAGGATGCTTACAGCGCTTTGTGTTGCGGATAAACGTCCGATCTGCACAACAACAAATGGGGCACTTTTTAAGACAAACCCACATAATTATTGCTGTGGTTTTTGTTTGCACGCATCGTCGTTAATTTTGCAACACTTGCTCATTTGACTGCTAGCAGCAGCAGCAATCTTGAGGTGTGACCGAGTGGGCTATCGTCGTTTTGTTTCCTGTCGTTATTCAGTTGTTAATTTGTTCGATATGACTGTGGTTTTGCAGCAGTCCAGAAGAGCCATCACCTGTAGCACAGAGCTCGAACTCGCATGCAATTGGCTTATCGAGCGGCTTTGGCAGACCGGATTCGGCGCAGGATCAGCTGTCGAGTCCAGGCATAAAGCAGAGAACATGGAACGGGCTTGGAGCTTTTGGTAGCAAACGGCAGCGGTCCCAGAATGGTTCGGAAGCTTTATCACCAGTAGCGCCATCAGCACCCCCACATTCTAAGCAGTCAAGGTTGGATGGGGGACATATGGAAGAGAGGTATTGGTTTTACACAGTTTGAGGCTTCTTTTTGTTGTAAATTAAAACCTGGTGAGTAAAGGCACGTGAATCTTTTGTGGCGTTTCTTGCATATGCGCAGCGTAGTACTTTTAGGGCCTTGACATCATCCTTTAGTTTTGCGACTGATATCACCAGAGCAGTTTTGGTTTTACTGGCATTGCATTAAATGACATTAAATGGTACCTTTAACATATATCGTCTTGTGACTGCTGAATTCGGATTTGTACAATGACTTAAAGAAGAAAGTGGGATTTGTAGAACTTGATGTTTGTTTTGATAGCGAGGAGAAGTGCTTTCCGTAATTTTTATCATTTTTATAGTCGTATTTTGAGCTCTTATTATGCCTACGAATTATATATATTTAATAGGGTGCGTCAATTAATTATTTAGGGACGGATTTCTGAGAGTCTGTGGATGTTAGTGAGTGTTAAATTTTGTTTTAAAAAATACTGTATTATTAGCACTAAATAGTTCTGTAGCAATGAGGATTCGAAGTCCGCGATGCTGAATGTTGTGGATGATGACGACCTGACGTATGCTGAGCCAGCTGCACGCCGCGATGTCAATGCGAAAAAGGATCGATGTACATTTTGCTGCAAAGTATGCGAAATTTTGCTTAACTTCCATTTTAAATGCTATTCTGGCGGCTTTTGCTCGCAGCGAATCAAGACGACCTTTGGAGGGCCTCCGGAAGTTGTATGCGCACCGGTGATGCTTGTTTCACTTGGTCGTATAGTACTCTCTTGTAGAATAAGTAGGCCTGTTGCACTAGAAGGCGGCTGCTCAGATGACTTCCCAGGTGGAAGTAGCAAGCAGTTTACTTTACCGGAGGCAGATATTCGTGCAGGTTTGGGAGAACTAGCTGCATCACAATAAATAGTTGCGACAACCGTGGCCAGTTTTAATTTTGAGTCGGACATGACACTAGCCAGCTTCCGGAAACAAGTGCTTGACATAGTGTTCTTCTGTGCGTGTTGTGGCAGTTTCTCCTAATTTGGCTTTTTTTTTTCACAGGGTTCACTGGAATGTCTCTCATTAAGTTATCCTGGTTTACGGCGGTGCATTCACTCAGTTCTGATCAGAATATTCCGAAAACTGCTGAACGGCAGTGACAGAACGTGGTAGATCTCGCAGTCCAGCCGAATTTGAACAGTAAATACGAATTCTTTTAGTTGGCATAGCATTTATTGATTTGCATCAGGGTAATTAACACGGAGCCGTGCGCTCTTCTAGTGCTTCGTACATCTGCATTTCGGTTTAACCACATAATCCAGTTCCAGAATGAACAAAACTAAGAAGCGCAGATTTTGTGAACAGTCTCCAAACAAGTACGGGGTCTCGAAACTGAAATCGATTTCCGGAAAGTTTTATGCCCAGTTCGTCTTCTGTTTTAAGAGTCTTCATAAATCATACGTTTAGATAATGCCAGGTTTTTGTATGCATGCCTCTCACAGTCTTGGAACTACGAAGGGTTAGGGCGAGGAATACCAGGTGCTTAGAAATGCTTGAGGCTCACGTACAGGCACGTGAAAATCTTGGCGGGAAAAGTGTTGATTCGGGAAAGAAAAAAGCTAGGAAACTGAGATTTCAGGGGAATTTCCCTTGTCCATGCATGAACTCAGTTGCTTAGAACTGTTCGGAACTCACGTGCGAGCGCGTGAAAGTTGTGGCGGGAAAATCACTAATCCGAGATGGAGAAAAGTTACAAGGTTGAGACTTTAGGGTAATGTTCCCTGCTCATGTACGACCAAAATCAGGTGTTTGAAGTGCCCGGACCCCATGTACTGGCACGTGGAAATTTTGACGGGAAAACCACTAATCCGGGAATGAGAAAAGCTAGAAAGCTGAAACTTTAGGGGACTGTTCCCAATTCATTTACGACCAGAAGATTTTAAATTCAGCTCCTTAGAACCGTCCGGTACTCACGTACGAACATGTAAGAATTTTGATGGGAAAACTGCTAACTCGGTGACGGGAAAAGCTGAAAGACTTTAATTTTAAGGGAATGTTCCCTACTCATGTGCGACTGAAAGATTTTAAATTTAACTCTTCTAGTGCGGCCTTTTTCGCAGACCAGCAACTTTTCATTTTTCGGGTTACTGAAGTCGACATCTACAACTGACATGCCACACAGCTGCACAATTAACTTCCCGAACTTCGAGGACCAGTATGTCATGGGGCTAGCTACTGTGATTCCTTACAGTCTTGCTATGGCACGAGAATTGCAAAAACGCATAGTCGCACCGGCCCGCCTGGTACGTTCCAGCCTGCGTTCTGCGCTCTAACGCAAGGAACATCAAGTATTCGTCTCACGACATGGTACCTTGTCAACATAATAGCGGCATGGAGTATGTTATCCCGGTCTTCATTTCTTAGTGGACTATATATCATTCCCCGACGTACAAGTAAAAAAACTTTTGTGGTGGAAAAACCAATATTTTTTGCCGCAGCCACCAGCTGTAAGCTAGTAGAGGGTTCGGAAACACTTATAACCGCTTGATCCCCTAATTCGCACAGTTCATCAACCTTTTTCTTAGGTTTTCACAAATCGTTCCAATCTGATCGTTCATTTGCGAAGTCACACTGGCGAGAAACCGTACAAGTGTCGACTGTGCTCGTATGCTTGCGCACAGAGCAGTAAATTAACGCGGCATATGCGGACACATGGCCAGCAGGGAAAGGTTTATATTGATGTTCCATATGTAACAGTTTGACTAGACTACATGATAGCTATCTAATCGAGAGTGTCGGGTGGCCATCTTCTTTATGTGATGGATAAAATACGTCAAATTGGGTGGCACTTTTAACATTATGTACGCAAATAATATTAATCACGAAGAATTGCATCAACTGATAAATACTTTGAAATGTAAGGAATTTGGCCCAGAAACGGTAAAAACCCCTGGTTAAAGAGATGGGAAATCGAATAGGGAAAGGATTGGGACAAAAAAAACGGGCGTTTCTTTTAGTATTCTTGGGGATTTAAGCTGGGAAATACGAGTTTCGTGACGCACGTTTCTTTCGTCGGAGTCTGAGTGCGTTAATTGTGTGTTTTGATTTTTAAGGAGACGTATCACTGCAATATCTGCCAAATGCCGTTTTCGGTACATTCAACGCTTGAGAAGCATATGAGGAAATGTGTTGTGGCAAGTAATCAGAATCGTGAAAACAGCCATCAATTTTCGCCTACCGATGCGCCTAGTAATACTTTACCTTTTTTTATTTCATTTACATAAATTCTAGAAGCTTAGCTAGAGGAAGAACTTCTCCCACCTGCCTTCTTCCGTTTCTTCTACCATTACCTTTCCCCCTTCATCCTAGTCCTCTTTTCCGCCTTGGTCGTGATGTGGCGCACTTTTTAAAGGAAAAACTCGGTAGTTTTTCAGCTTTTGCACTTGTCGTGATTTTAGTATTTTTGTTCTGAAAGCACATTGCATTGAAAAATATGCACTGATATTCGTAATTTTCCACAAAAAATTGACTTTGAATTTTCCCTGGAGCGGCAGGCTGAGTTTAAGGACAAGTGAAATGCGAGTCATAAATTCATACCACAGGTTAGAGGGTCTGATATATTTTGAGATGTAATCATGCTTTTTTGGCCGCCTGTATCTGCATATCGCTACTGTGTTTTCTGAGGTGGACCATACAAGTTGTTTTTGGTATTACAAACGCGAACCACTGACACACAGTATCCAAAAAAA